AGTGTGTTCTTATACTAGTCCTCACAAAGAACACATTTACCCTCAGAGTGAGGACATTTTGGCCGGTCCTCAATTTTTTAGTTGGAGTAAGGACTAAATCTTGGTTTTTGGGTTTAGGTCAAGGTTTAGGAGAGGATTGAGGTCATGTTGCTGTGATGGTTAAGGTTGAGGACAGGGGAAGTAACACTAAGGAAGGTCCTCAAAGAATAAATGTGTAAGTCTTTGTGTGCCTGTGAAAGGGTTACAGAAAAAGAGAGAAGCCCATTCTAACAACTTAGTCAAGTCTGAGTCATCAGTGTTATGTATAAATGTTATCAGGCTGAGTTCACAAAATCTAAGTTAGAACCTAGACTACCACATTAAAGGGTAAAGTACAGCTTTTAGTGTCTCCAGAGGGAGCTGCATGAATTCTGATAAATGGCCTCAAGTGGGCGGAAGACTGCAAGTTTGAAAATGAATAAATCTGGGGTGTGGAGTTATAAAGAAGTGAGCTTACCAGAGCTCTGTAGCTTGCGCCTTGCTTTAGGCTAGCAGCTCGAGGCTATATCGGCTGTTATTAGCATAACACACACAAATCTCTAACAGAACTGGCAGCATTCAAATTGCATTGTGGGTAACGTAGACAACAATATCTCTGGTTCTGTTGCATCTATTTTGACACTTTTTAAAACTATCCATCAGGTGTCCAGTTATTATAGGAGTGCAGTGCTAAATCTGTGGAGCACTCTTTTAAATGTTATTTGTTAAGCAGTCATTACCTGACAGTCACTTTTTAAGCAGTGTAAAACAACAATATTTTTAAAAAAAGAGATAATTTCATATGTTGAAGGCTTCTGAATTAGATTTCTCATTTGTCTTTTGAAGGAAACCAAAAACAGACAAGCAAACCAAACAATTCCTCCCAGGCAGCATACATACAAAGATTTGTGATGCCAACCTACCACTGGTTGTGTTGTCAGTTTTCATGTGGCCTACATCTCCATGTGGGCCTTTATTAATAACCAGCCAGACGGGGAACATGTGCAGTCAGTATCTGAGGTCACTGAGTCCCAAATCCACCTTCTCATTGAATTGATTTGCATCAGAATTGGAGTCAATTAAAACTTATAGGAATATCCATGTCATCTTAAGTCTTCTACTTTTCTTAATTCCTTTCTTTAAATGGCAGTGCTTTGTATGTAAATATGTGTGTTTGTAAGTGTCAGGTGTGTCTCTTCATGTGCAGAGCTAGGTGGTCAGAGCGGGAGAAGGCCCTCTGACACAGCAGACACTCATAAGGTTTTTGGCCCGTGTGCTTGCGGTAGTGACGCGTCAGCTCATCTGATCGGGCAAATTTCCAGCTGCAGCCCTCCCATGAACAGTGGTAAGGCTTTTCCCCTGAAGAGTAAACAATAAAACAGATTGTAATTACCAAACAAATACATGAAATCACATTTTGAGACTAATCACGTCAGGCTCTTGTTGTTTCTGTGGTGGAGTCAATGGGGTGTACCTGTGTGGGTGCGGAGGTGAGCCTTGAGGTGTGAGCTCTTGGTGTAGGTCTTACTGCAGCCAGGGTATTCACAGCTGTGGATGGCAGGCCTCCTTTTTCCTGTAGGCCTACGACCACGCTTCCCCTCAACTCCACCAGGGGGCAGCTGTGGGCCAACCAGCAGGGGCTGCTGGTGAAGGGGTAGATGGCCAGCAGCCTGGCTGTGGGTGTAGTCACAGAAAAGGCTGGCATTGTGATTAAATTGTGGCATGTAGCTGTAGTGTCGAGGGTCAGTGGTCACAGCTTGAGGAGGTATGAACCTGCTGCTGGGGAAGGTCACCATGGAGGGGTGTTGCAGGGCATAGTAAGGGCTAAAGTCGTGTGACGAAACTTTGCTGAGGTTTCCTCTGCTGTGCCTCTCCACACTGCCTCCTTGGGGGAACCCAAACTGATCTACATTAGGTAGACTGGGAAATAAAGTGAGACCTGTCTGGTCGTCATTATAACCATGTTGGTACAGCTCTGGCTGGATGGGCGTTGTGGTTTCAGCAGGGGACAGGAGCTCTGCCATGAGGCCCCCACTGCTCATCTGCAGATTCTCCTGTCCTGGTTGGTCCTTAAACATGGCCGCCTCTTGGAACTCTCGGTTTGGGTCCAGCTGAGGGAGCCGTTGATCATTGTTGTCCAGAGAGGGGTTGCGGTCAGGTGATGGGCTGCTCCAATCAGAAAGCAAGAACTCAATGTCCCAGGACGCCTGGCTGTCATTGTCCAGTAGCTCCTCCGTCATGTGTTGAGAGACCTGCAGCTGCTCAGAGCTGCTCGGTGACAGTTTGTTGCTTAGAAAGTCCGGAGGGAAAGAGTCACCCTCAGACTTCCACACCTAGATGGTGTTGCAGAGGATTGACAAGTGATGATCACCAAGGAAAATATATTCTAAAAAGATTTATGCACACTGCTTTTGCATTTAAAGGATAGGCTCCAAATTTTTTAATTTTTCTTAAAAAACAACCACATGTCGATATGAACAAGCAATTGGATGCTTTAATTGTTCCTTCTGTCCGTACTGGCTGTAAAGAGATCCCTTTTTAAATACATGTCCAGTGTGATAAGGCACAAAATCCACAGTCCTCGTACGAATATAAAAAATATATACTCCAGTGTTCAGCTGAAGCTACTGTGACGCTTCAGCAGTCTGAGTTAATCAAGTGGGTATCTCCCAAAATTACAGCCTCAAAAGACACAAACTTGATTTGTCTAACTCAGAATGCTGAATCCTCACATTAGATTCAGGTCAACTTACACATACAGAGGACTATATTTTACTCCCCATCACTTAGACAGTAACCGCTCTAGGAGGGGATTTGATTGCAGCATGGACAGCGGGGACAACTACTGAGACAAATCACTCACTGTTCATATGGGCATGTCAGAAAGGCTTCTAAACCTATCCTTTAAGATATTAATTGATCCAGTACATAGGAACAAGAGCAAGATTTATTGAAAATCGGGAAGCGTATCCTTCCCAAACAACAACCAAAAGCACTTTCATTGCCACGGTAATCATTTATCTGTGAAATGTACAAATTATCAACACAATAATATAGATCATACAATGCAAAGGATTACTGTCATGCTATTCCCAGATATGGAATTACATTTGTCACAACTCTTCAGGTAAAATATTAGGTAGCAGTAGACACTATTCAAATCAAATTTTCTCTGTCACTGTGCAGGAATCAAACACCTAAAGTCAACAGGATACTTACTTTCATACTGTCACTGGAGTGAGTGAGGTTGGAGAAGGAGCTGAATGAAGGGAGCACAGCCTGTGTAACTGCCATCAAGCACTTTGATGTGACGCCGATTGACAGTGGCAGCAACAAAAGTGAAGCTTCTCTTTTCTTTTTGCTTTGTCTGTCTCTTTATTTTTTTTACATGACCGCCTTACGCTCAGCTAACATAAAGTCAAACCCCAGCTCACCAAAGCCACTCACCCCAGTTACAATCCACTCAGCGGCAGCAACAGGCCGCAGCAACAGGTTCCATTCCTCCCCCGCTATCTCTCCCTCCTCTCTCTTGTCTATCTCTGTCAGCTACGAGTCTAACTTCAAATCTCTCTTTTTCATGTAGGTTTTGACCGTTAGGAGGAGGAGCATAAGTGTGAGTTACTTATCTGGCTACTTTTCTTTATCCCTTATGTTCATTCACAATGACTAAAAAACTCTACAATCTCACCTCAGAGTCTCCTGTTCTGTGGGATTCAGAGCAAAAAGTAAACTCTGAAAAAATCAAGAGACATTAGTTTGTTAAATGCATCATATAAACAGACAAATAACTAGATATCTGTGCTAAGATCAAAGGCTTAACTAAGCACTTTACTGAATCAGTTTCCCCAGTATCTTAATATGGACAACAACATCTTTAAACAGGAATAAGCTAAATAAGATAAGAGGATAAGATAAAAAATAAAATACAAATAGAATTATAGATGAGAATACAGTTTTAGTGCAGTTACAGTTCCATAAAAAAAGTTTAAAAGCAACTTCATTATGTACAGTATGTATTTGAAATTTTCACTCAGACAGAAGTGCCTAAACTAACCCAAGCCACCCAATCAGGGTTCTTCTGAGACAAAACAAGGAGGACGTGTTAAACTCATTTGTATATTAAATAAATACAAATAAAAATCAGCCAAAATAGGTGACATTTGTATAATTCCTTTGTGATTAAAGAATAATAATAATAATAAATAAATAAAATCTTTCTTAAGATGGAAAAATAAAATATATCAGGATACTGCAATAATCAACTCCAAGTAATATAAATTACAAGTAATAAAAACTAATTATAATTAATAATGAATAATTGTATCTTATTATATAGAATAATTAGTCAAGCCATTACAAAAATGCTGCAAAATGACTGCCTGTACTGCAAAGTAATGCAGGGCTCTTTATGTTATTTTTTAACTCCCAAGTAAAAAGGTCATGTTCGGCCAACATGTCTGAATAGATAAAATGTTTCATCACAAAGAGATCGCTTTTTTATGAGTCTTTTATTACAGAGCTTCTTAGCCTACAGACATTCAATGTGAATACATAACACAAACAAATATTAATAGGCTAAATAATAGTAAAGAGGTAAGGAGGTTGGTATAGCTCATAAGCAAATATTCCAGCATGCAATACAGTTCATGATTCAGTTATGCAATTAACACCTCATCCCCTTTGTTGAGCCAGTACTTCTAAATGTTTTAACACACTGGAAAGACACACACACACACACACACACACACACACACACACACACACACTCAGGTCGGTCTCTGTCTTTCGAGTGAGGACATGTGACTTCTGAGAAGACCTGTATGTGAAAAGGGGATTACATCCTGGCCGCTGTTTATCTGTTTATCATGGGGCATAGGCAGGCTGCTGTCTTCCCACAGATAATGGACTCCAGACTGCTGCTGATCCCCGATGACTAGCCCACCACTGATAAAGACTCTCTCTTTCCTTCAGTGACGACTACACAAGACGTCCACTACGCAACATGAAAACCACGATGGCCAGTATCATAAAACAGCGTCCTCATGACCTTAAATACGTTACGCAAGTTCCTCTACAGTTTGTGTGTTTGACAGAGGAGAATTCACTTCCAAAGACCTTACACTAACTTGGGAATTTGTGTGAGTATGATTATCATAAGACATAAAGACACTACAAGAAGAAGAGATCATGTGCTTTTAATATAAGGATTTAAAGGAACAAATAAATACTAAAATGCTCATAAAATCATTTGGAAAACATGGAATAAACACGAAAATAATTGAGATTTTAGGCTATGCATACAGAGCTGCACAATTCCCACTTCAATATGAGGGACTTGGATGACTTTTCTGTGTCTGTTCTATTCAATTTTAATGTAGTTGCCTGCTTTCCAAACACAAATTATTTTTAATATTCTTTCTTATAATATTCCTTTTGGGTTTAGTGATGTGATATGGATTTATAATGATCCCTGTGGGGAAAGTGGACATTTGTAACGTTAGCTGCAAAGTTAGGAGGAGAAACATCACAGTAGGATTCATTTTGCTTTTTATTTAATCTGGTATCACCAGATTAAAAATATTCCTTCAATGATATGTGTAGTCTGGAGTCTGACTATGTTATGGTATGTGTAGCGAACTTTTTTTGTATATATTTTTTTGTATATTAACAAAGCTAACTGATGGGAAGTATCAACACAAATAAAACAATCTGAATTTGTCTCCATCTAGTGGACTTATGTTGTCATTGTGCCTATGGCTTTAGACAAAAATGAGAGGTAAGTTTAAAAGAAAACAAAAAATGTCACAGCCAAATATTAAGTGTTTAGAATAGGTTGGTCTAATACTGAAATATTTATTTTAAATACGTATTAATTTTTGAGCAGAAGGCTTGCAGCTTTAAGCTTTAGCACAGAAGTGCTAACGTTACTTAGTTGCTATAGCAACAGACATGTACATACTAACGTTACGCTAACTGCGCTGGAGTTTAGCTCGCGTTAGTTAACGTTAGGCGTTTACGAAAGACTTGTGATAAGAAAAGAAGTGTTTGAGTAAGTTTTTTCTAGTTTTTGTCAAGTTCCTATCATTAAACATTATATCCTTACGTTTCTTTTATGTAAATTAGAGTAAACATCCACACCTCTGACGTTCAGCTGTTATTGTTAGCCACTTAACATAACGTTAGCAGCAGCAAGGGCACTATGTTAACTTCACCTAAATGTAAACACAGTTTGGCTATTATAAGCTACGTTGGGCTATGTAAGTGGTTTTGAACAGCAAAGTCAGTACGTACTGTGTCTCTCTAGGCCTTGGGCATCGCGAATTAAGGCTGGGGACTTCTAAACTAGCTTGTAAACGAGTCCATTGTATGTTATGATTTTAATGTTATTTCCATTTACCAAATGTCTCTATTTATTGTACTTAACGTTAACTATTAACTAATGCTACACTGGGTAACGTTAGTTAGGATAAGGGTAGTTTAGCTCTTAGGGTTTTCTGTATGTAGGTTAGAAATGACGCTGTAGATTGCATGTGCTTTAATTATTTGTAGCATTATCTAGAAATATGTTTGTACTTCAAATACATGTCTACTATTTGCTTAGTGTCTACAAGCTTCAGATAGCTTACCAGGGTGTCCCTTTCACAAATCTGCATTATTTCTTATGATTGTACTTGTATTTTATTGTTTTGTGAAGATTAATTTAATTTGATTGTAATTTAATTTATGATGTCTTTTGGACATTTAGGATCACCACCGCATGTCTCTCTGTTAAAAGATTTGTTGTAGTTAAAAAATGAAAACAATGAGATGTATCTTCCAATACAACAGAGATAACGTTAAATTAAGCCCCAGAGATTGCAGATAATGTATTTTGTGTCTCAGAGGTTGCAGATGGAGCCCTCCTCACAGAGTAGAGGTGGTAGGGGACTGTGGAACAACCCCAGAGCCACCCAGTACAGTAAGGAGACCCAGGACCTGCTGACATGTGAGAGGATGCACTTGTGGATATTCTGGTGTGGGTGGTTAGGTGTGAATAGGAGATACATATAAAGGATTTGACTGTGTGGGTGTGTGTATGTTCAGGCACATACACGTGTTTTTGCATTTACCATTGTGTACTAGGCATTGAAGTGTAAATTTTTCTGTCTACTGGTGCTCAGTAATGATGCAGGAATCAAGGCTCACCAACCTCCAGAGAAAACAGATCAACGACTGCCTCAAGAGTAAGTTTGAGACCTTTTGATGAGAGGTTGGTGGATGGCGTATAGTGATAATGTGTGTGATAGTACTGTATTATACACAGACATCAAGTATACATATTATATATATATATAGGGCCCCTCTGGCGTTTCCCACCTCTACATCCTAACCTAGAAAATTTCTCACTTGACTTTGCTGCTGCACTATCCCCTAAACACAATATTTCAAGCATTTAGCATTACTACATTTTTCTACTTTAAAAACCTTTCCCCCACAGATGGAGCAGCTTTACCACTGACCTCTGACCCCATATCATCAGCTTCCCCCCCTCAGCCTAAAACCAATAAATCTGTCCAGAAACGCCTGCCAAGCAAGCCTCAGAAACGCAGTGCCGAATCTTGTCGTTCTGGGAACAGCTACGTCAGAGAAAAGTTCCAACCTGGTCCTATAAGTATGTTCTTGATAGGCCTACATTGTAAAAAAAAATGTCAATATACAGTGGGCCATCTAAACTGTTTGTTTTATTCTCAGCATCCTGAGAAACATTCAGTCTTCTTGTCACTAATTTTTTCTGTTTCTCTCTAGGAGACTTAGAGAAAGAGAAGCGGAGGCTTCAGAGTATATTGGCAACGGGAGAAGAAGAGCCCACAGCTGCATCTTACCAAAATGTTCCCACATGTCGGAACCCAGGAGCGGCGGAGGGGAGAGACCGGTATCAGGAAGGTTAGGCTGACTGCACAGAAACAGAGAAAAGTAACATGGCGTGTTGTAGAATGCCATTACAACCTGAACAGAAACGCATCACATTTAAATTTGATGTGTTGTCTAAGAGATTGTCTGTTTCTATTATTATCAGCCTACATTCAATTCTACGCTACTCTGTAGACTGCTTGACTAAATATATGCAGGGCTGCTTAAGAAGTCTAATATTAGTGTTTGTTTCTTTTGTAGTTCTGGATGAGATCGAGGACAGAAGACAGTTTCTGGAAGACATGACCTCTCTGGGCCAGGAGAAGCAGTACATCAGCATCATCAACACTGAGATATCCCAGGTAAACATGCAACAGTTTAAATATGGGCTCAAATTAGTCCGTATTATGGTGCCCAGGGTCTTGAACAAGCTCTTGGTAACACAGGTGTCACTTCATTGATTTATCGTTAAGTATGTTTAGTGTGAGGTTCTTTTAAACAATATAGTAAGATGCTGACCCACAGATCAATAGCAATGTAAACAGATCCTTAAAATGGCAAAGTGTCAGATTTCATACAAACTGACAGAGAAAGAGTGTATTATTTATTCTCTCTGAAATACAATTGCGCTTAAACCTGTTCTGTGCCACATATCCAATAACAGAGATTACGAGAACTGGAAGAGTTGGACAAGGCCCGCAGTGCAAAGATGGATGCAATGACATCTGAGTGGAAAGGGGTCACTCCACAACAGACTACAGAAAACATGGACTTGAAAGAGACAGGAGGAGACTCACTGCCATTGACTTAACACTTTGACATTATCTGGGAAACAGCTGCAAGCAATACATCTTCAAATTCAGATTATGAATGGGTCGAGTAAAGTGTGATATAATAAATGTGGTAGAGATTACAGTTGACCGACTGCACTGTGCTTCAACCACACAAGCAGTTCAGGTGTGTTGTTAAGCAGTGAAAGTATTACATTTACAAGAAACATTAACTACTTCATCAACTTATTTTATTCCTCTGCCTTCCAGTGTCAGTATTGTTTAATAATCTTGCTGCTGAACAACATATAGCTGACAGAAATGTGGCACTACTGGAGCCCTTGGTGTCCCCTGGACAGGAAGACAGGCACAGAGCAGACACATACAGGGATTACCATTAAAATGGAGGACAATCTAAATGACAAAACAGAATGAGTAAACACACTGACATTTACATTAGCTCGAACAAATGACAGTCAACCACATATGCAATTAAATAAATGGCACTTGTACAAACAATATTAACACGTTTTTTCCTATCCACTTTTAAGGCAAAACATGGAAGCATACAGAAAGGCATAGTAAAATATAAATTAATGATTGCATATTCAGGTTTCCCCCAATGGTTTAAACTGTGATAAATGATGTTTGTTATATCTGCCATTTCAAATATTCATTATTGCATGTGTGACTTTTCATATTAATAAACTTTCTAACAGACTTATGTAGTTTAACACTCCTTCAATCTAATTTTGAGTACTTTCCCACTTCGTTTCCAGTCACACACACACTCACACCATTAAATACTGTATCTACCTTCATCCACTTCTTTGATGATATGCATTTACACAAATGGCACGATCACAGAACTACAACTGAAGAACCTAAGAACAAGGACACCACAAACAATCATAACATAGCAGCTAGAAGAGCTTAGGTATCTGCTGGTGTCTGAGCGTTTCAGGGGTAGATGTTGCAATATTTAAAGCAGAGTTCATCTTTAAAAAGTATTACTTTCACTAGTACCACAGGCTCAAACCAGACGTGACAGAAAACCTTAGAGTAAAAACATATTAAAAACTCATAGATATAAGATCCACTTGCATCCAACTGACTTCATTTAAAGTGAACTGACGAATCACACATTTGCTGAATCCTGATAAAGACTTACAGGGTAGAGACACTGTGCAATGCAAGGATAGTGAAGCAACAAAAAACATTTCAGTGCAGTAATTTAGAAACCTACTGTTACCTTCACTGGCATGAAAGGTCAGAGAGCTTGTTGAGTTATACTGTCTCACAAAGGCAACTGAAAATGGTCACTGAAGTAAGAGGTGAGCAGGGAGTGGATTCTGGGTTGCACTTCAAGTCATTAATGACACAGTTAAAAGAGAACACATCTTCTTGACCTGATGTAATTTTTTTCTCATATCCTTTTTTAATTTTCCTTAGTCTTGTTAAAATAGTCTCATTTCCTCTTGAAGGAGTGGTGCTTTCTACGGTGTTTTCTCCTTGCGGGGGCTGTGGCTTTTGCTTGGTTCTCCTTTATGGCTCAGCCTCTTGAGCACCTTAATGGGTTTGAACTTTGCCCCTTTTTTCTTCTGCGGCTGCTGCTGCTCGCCCTCCAGATCCTTATGGAAGTCTGATGAGGATGAAAATGAGTTGATAAAATCAGGAAAAACAATGAAGTAAGGGAGAGAAGACAAAGTAAGAGGCAACATTTACATTTTATGTTCAATGAATCTTTAACAGCGCTACATACAAATGGAGCTTACTCCTCATCATACCTTTTTTCTTCAGCATGGCTTCCATAACTTTATCCTCCTCTTCTTCCCTGTGACAGAATGACTGTTAGATGTAGGGTAGATGCAAACTATCACTGATCAACACACTCCGGGCCACTGCAGAGATACATAGTTAACTGCCAGTCATTGATTACCTCTGCCTGTCCTGGTCCATGTTGTTGACAATTTGGTTGCGCTGTTCAATGATGGTAACCAGCTCAGCCATCAGCTCCTGCTCCCGACTCTTGTCCTCCTCTGTCCAGTCTTTCTCTTGAGGAGGGAAGGGATGATGATGATAAATGATTTAATTTTGTTGTATTAATATGCAATGTGTTTAGAGCATCATTAAGTATTAACATTAATGCACTTCCTAGTTAATCTACCCATCCTGCCAGGGAAGTTGATTGGTGTACTGTATGCCTGAGCAGTGTATGAAAGCACTACTGGAGGAGTTTAGAAAAAAATTAAAACAATCATGTTATAGATTATTATGCAAATGTTAGAAAGTTTAGGTTTTACTGAACCCATGTGCATAGATGGTCTTCCTTAACCTAATCTGTGTGTAGATGTACAGGCGAAGTGCGGTTGGCAGTATTTTGTTTTGAAACATGAGGCAAGCATTACAAACACATACAGGCAATCCATTTAACTGAACATCATAAGGCCAAACTCACCTGGCTTGTTGAGAAGACACCTCAGTTCATACTCCACGTCCGCTTGCCTCTCTTCCAGGTTCTGCTGCTTCGCTCTGCAGTTATGAATATTCACACAGTACGTTACACAGTGGTAACCTCTAATTTATTACTACACTTTTAAACTTCTTTATCTAAAGTTATAATGAGCCTAAATAAACTAATCCCTTAATAATGATAAAAAAAAATTTTCCTAGAGAAGCAAAAGTGTTTAACATTTGGATATTGGTTTGATTTGCAAATCAACATCATTGTGTCATATTCCGACTATTTTAGGAATATCTATTCCCCTTGACGGCATGTAATTACAAAAAGCTGGGTGACGTATTCCTGAAAGATTTGTGATGGAGCATATTCTGTGATGGAGAAATGACTGACTTGCATCGAAGTCTTATCATTCTGAACGTCTGCCTCTTCTGTCTGATGCTTACGTATAAACCAGCTCGGCTTCTCGTCGTACTAAAAGGTGTTTCTCATGGATGAGAGTGAACCAGTCCACCAGCAGGCGCTCCTCATCCTCATCTGAAAACACAACAGAGGAACACAGGGAGATATTTCTGATATGTTCTGATGTGATATGTTTCTATTATTATGTATTGTTCTTTCATGTCAAATGTAAGGATCTTATCCATTCCCCAATTTTCTCTAGGTGATCATTTGTCTTTTTATAATTATATACTTTCATGAGCTGTTTAAGTTAAGGCAGCCATTTTAGTAAAAAATTCAGTTTTGAATACAGTGAACCTGATTCTTATGCACTGCATGTGGGGACAGTTTCATATCTTTGCAATATTTAACTGGCCTTCAACTGATTTAACTTGCTTATACTCAAGAAACTATAGGAAAAATAGCGTGATGTGTTACCATTAGGGTTGTCTCTCAGCTTCTTCTCCAGCTCCACTCCCCTCTGTTCCAGTTCATCCAGATGCTTCTCCAGCTGACCCATCTCCCCGTGGATGTCCTCTACTGGGATGTACTGATCTGACTGCACCTGAATGGATGTTTGGATCATTTGAGTACCTCTTATTCTGTGTTTGACACAGAAGTGGAAACATCTATTCAATAAAAAAACATTTATATGCTAAAGGATACAGTATTTGTTGTCTTTAGTTTTTGTACCTTGCGTTTGATAAGAGGGAAGCCATGGCCTGGGGCCGGGGGCCTGGCAGGACGAGGGCCTTTTGGTGGTCTTGTTTGGGATTTAGCAGGGGAGGGAGAAGCTTTCCTGTTGAACGGGTTCTCCTTACAGATCCGCTAAAATGAGAAAAGAGATAAAGCTGGGATATCATGTGCAAAGGTGACTGTTTTATATTGCTTTATTTGTTGGTGGTCCTATTACCTTATTGTGCGATTGGTTGGCTCCTGAGGCCAAAGGGCTGGGGGTCGTCAGGGGTCTTGGTGGAGGGGCTCCAGTCCCCATGCTGCGACTGGTCTGTGGGGTAGCTGGAGCTGAGCTGGCATATGATGGCGTGGGACATGGGTAGGGGTTTTGGGAGGGATGAGTCAAACGTTCGGTCGAGGAGGAGGAGGGAGAGGCCGTAGAGTCGCACGGTGAACAGATGGAAGGCTCTGAGACACTTTTGGTGAAGGCGTGCTCCTTGTCGTTGCTGGCACTGCCACCCAATGGGGGCTGGGCAGAGCTGTGGTCTGAGGCTGAAGACAGACTCTCTGTGCTGAGAGCTGGAGAGGGAGAGCAAGAGGAGGGCTGAGAGTGAGGGAGAACTGAAAAGGAAAGGTTTAGTAAAAACCAAAGAGTAAAGAGAGCAGAAAACAAACAGGAATTAAGATTGAAATGGAGAGAAGATGGGAAACAGAACAAAAAACAATGAACAGAACATCTATATAGAACATCCCTCCGTCTCTCTCTCTTTGTACTCGACTCATTGTTCCGGCTCAACTGTGCTAAAGAGTCAACTTCCATTTTAAATTTGAGGTTTTTTGAATCCATATTGAAGAAACTGTTTAGGATTTGGAGCCCTTTAAATATGTAACCGCTGCATCAGTGTTGAAAGTGGTGTTTTGTGTGCCTCCAACACGAGGACAGTCAGGTCACGTAGAGGAAGTGGCACTGTCAGGGATGCAGAGTATTATGAGACTGAAAGGTAATTGATAATGTAATGCTGACAGAAGAGCCTGAAAACTGGTTGTTAAAGAAAGGACAATGGAGGAGCTGAGGTTGTAAAGCAAATAAGGCATGCAAACTAGTCCTTTTAAGCTAATGAGGAGACGTTTCTTTTGGATTGTAATGTGCAAATGAGATGCTAGCTAATTATCCAGAATTCCTGTATAGAAAAAAAAAAGATGCATCGGTAATTGTTTCATCATCGCAATCGAATCATGAGGTGCCTAGAGAGTCACACCCCTAATGTTCTCCACAAACTTACAGATTTCTACCGTACCACCTAAAAGGTAATTTTACACTGGAAAGTATGCACATCTTCACAGAATCACAATAAAAAGGTTCTAGGGTAAAATGTATGGTCTTGTCTTTGCATTTCATTCTTGTATAAAATAAACAGGTAGCTAGATCCATCACAAGAGAGCACAGTTCGATGTTTGTAAAATGCAATGCTGATCAAACGGACCTTGGTTAACAGCAGGTGGCTTTGGAACACGAGGTGCCGGCCGTTTCTTGCTCTTGCTGCTCCCAGGGCTGGCAGAGCGGGACGAGCGTCCTTCACTAGGAGGAGTGTCCGCAGCTGTGGTGTCAGCTGCCCGACCGATGTTGTACCATGGGTGAGTAGCCACAACTGTGGGTGGAATCGCACCTCCTTCTCTCCCCTCTTCTTCCTCTACCTCGTTATTTTCATCATCGTCGTCGTCGTCAAACGGGTTGGAGGGCGGAGGGGGCGTGCTGGGTCTGGAGCCTTCCCCTTTGAGAGAGGACAGAGAGCCTATGTTGGGGGGGGTTGCAAGTCCGGCAGCGGGAGGGGCAGGGGCTTTCTTCTTCTTGGGTTCTGATTGGACCAGGGCCATCCAAGGTGGGTCTTTGGGTTTATGGGCACCACTGGACAGGCTGGACAGTGAGATACACAGACAGGAATGGAGGGGTCACAGAGGGGGAAGACAACAAAATACAGCCAAATGGAGGCACGGAGGGGCAAACGACTACAGTACATGGTGTAAGAACTCACAAAGAGAGACTATGATATGATGAGGGTAGTGAAATGGTGGCAATGGACAGAAAAAGAGGCAGATGTTCAGCTACCTTCCAGGAGACTGTGATCTTTCTCGAGGTTTGGGAGGAATCGCAGGCTTCTGGTTTTCACCTGTAATTTTAAGGACAATGTGAGCATAAATATCAACAGATTCCATCTATTATCAGTTATATTCTGCAGTGAGCACGCACCGACTGTAAGGCCGTCTCCCGTACGTGGTAGCCGAACCCGAGGGGCAGGGCGAGGAGGAGGGGCGGGTTCAGAAACCCGGCGAGGCGCCGGTACTGGCCGGCTGGCACCTTCGTGATGAGTGACAAGTGTAGAAGCGAGGTCCCCATTTGTTGTTTTTTTGGCTGGTGTTTTAGTATCTTCCTCTTTCTCCCCCTCTTCCTCCTCTTCATCGCTCTCATCAAACGGGTTGGGAGGAGAGGAAGAACGTGGTATCTCCTCTGTCTCGCCATCCATCTTGTTTGCTTTTTCCAAAGAGTCTGTTTGGTTTGTTTCAACAGCAGCAACTGTGACAGAGTCATTGGTGGGTGTGTCAGTATAATTTGTTTGGCATACCGGAGAAGGAGTCTTTGACTGGTCCCTCTCAGAGGCTGAGGCGTAGGGAATTGTGCTGCGACCGATCCTGCTGGACTGAACTTCCACTGGTCTTTTATTTAGATCTGGCCGGCCGTTCTGATTGGCTGAAGCATGCCTTGTAATGTGATGTGTACAGACCAACGCCCCAGAGTCGCTTCCTAATTTGTAGGATCCAGGAAGCAAAGTGCTGTGGCACTCTATGCACCTGAGACAACAATGACACAGGATGACAGTAAGATCTTCGACGAGTTATAAAGATTGTTGAGATATAAAGCTACAAAAGATTATTAACATGTCTGTCAAAATAATACACGCAGTGATTAAATGCTCTTTAAATAGACCAAACAATAACTAGTGCTCTTATGTAAACTATATATTAAATCACACTTGGTCTTACCACCAGTAACCACAGGTGTTACTACTACTAAAATCTTAACCCCTTGATGCCTGAATCTTTTTACAATAAAAAATTAATAATAATTTGTGTTTTCATTTGCTTTCAAGCTGATGTTAAATTAAGTGAAGATTGTTAATTTGTCTATAGAACATAGAAAAGATAAATTCAGGTATGATGTAGTGATGATGCAAATTAGCAACAACGGGCATAAACGAGAAACCAGGGCTTGCAAAAGGTTCCTAGGCACGTTTCAAATATGCACAAACAGGCATCGGGGGAATACACACAGTCTAAAAGAAAGAGGTGTGATGCGAATCAGCATCAAGGGGTTAAGGATTATCACTCATAAGTCAAAAGTATTGTTGTTTTGCTTGCACTGTGAGAAGCATGTTATTATGGTTCCCCAGCACTGATCTCTCATGCCTAAAAAAAATCCATGTAACACACAGGTAGAGAGGAGCCGTAGCTGAAGTGTTCACCTGAAGCAGTTGCGATGGTAGAGCTTGCCATCCACCAGAAACCTCTGCACCAGGTGGACGTGTTTCTGGCAGGCGGCGCAGGTGCTGCTGAGAGTGCTGCGCTTGTCTGCTGAGACCACTTCTACACCTGTCTGCGCCGGCTGGCC